AGGAATGCCGAGACAGGTAGGGAGAGACCAGGAGCTCAAAGAGATACACTATTACGGGCCTGGTGTGTGCAGACCAAGATGAGCTTACTGTCAGGAGACTACTAGGTTGCTCACACCAGTTGCTGTCAGGTGACCACCAGCTCAGTAGGATAGGATGGTCAAGGATGACCTTATCAGGTACAGACATCTGCAGAGTCGCTCAATGTGCTGGCTCAGGGCTGGGTGTCCCAATGGCTCCCCCATACCCTGAGGAGCTCCTAGTAGAGTCAGGAAAACACTGTGACAAACCGAGGTGATAAGTGGAGCCACCATAGTGAAGGGACACCTGAAGTGGCCCCTGGCAGTGATAAAATCAGGACACGAACATAGAGGAACAGGGGTCAAAGAAAGGTTGAAGGGCATTTTAGCAGGCAGTGCGGCAGGAATGCGAGATCCATCCATTAATTCATTCATTCAACAACCACCTGGTGCCTGACCCGAGCTGGGCCCTGTGCTGAGCGCAGGAACCTTAAACATGAATCTGACACAGCCCCTGCCCCCACAGAGCCCCAGCCAGCAGGAAGAAAGACTGAGATGGCCAACAGTCGCTAGGGGCAGCAGAGAGGGCATGTGAGTAAAAGTGTGCAGGTGTGTAGACAGGAGGAGCCAGGGTCCGCCAAATTCAGGGAAGGTAGACAGTTCCCTAACGTGAGGGTTGGTGTTAAGGAATGAATGTTTGTGTCCCCCAAAGTCTATACGTTGAAATCCTAACCCCCAATGTTATGGTTTTAGGAGGTGGAGCCTTTGGGAGGTAATTGGGTCATAAGGGTAAAGCCGTCATGATGAGATTAGTGACCGTATAAGGGGGGACACGAGAGAGCTTGTTTCCACTCTCTCTCTCCACCATGTGAGGACACAGCAAGAAGGCGGCCACATGCACACCAGAAAGGGGCCTCGCCAGGACTGGCATCCTGCTCTCAGACTTCCAGCCTCCAGGAATGTGAGAAAAGCCCTCAAGTTGATGGTATTTTTGTTACAGCAGCATGAATGTACTGAGACAGTCGGTAAAAGCATGAGCATCAAGAGATGAGGCCACATATGTGGCAATAAGGAGTTTGTGCTTCATCCTGGGCCACTGGGCAGCCCCTTGAGCAGAGGAGGGACACAGCCAGGTGTGAGCTTCAGAAAGATATCACCCTTTCTTGGTACAACTGTCCCTCTTCCCAAATAACCCCTATAACTCCAGAGCAAATCTGAGGAAGGAGAGAGCGGACAAGACCTCCAGACACTCCTAGGAAGGCACAAGACCCTCCAGGGCTGTTCCCAAAGACTGGGAGCTAAGACAGGCGCTGGCTCCGACTGTAGCTCTTCCAGCTCAGCCCAGCCAATGACGGTCCTAGAGGCTCCAGTTTCCCAGATCCTGTCTTGGTAACATGAGGATGTTTGGAGGTTGAGATAGAACAAAGAGCCAAACATGACACTGGTGGGCAGATAACAACGCACAGACACACGTGCCTTGTGGAGAGACGGTGGCTGATGTCTAAAACGCAGGAGGACTGTCAGCACTCAAGGAGCTGGGGCCTGGTTTTCAAACCACTTTCCATTGAGCCTTGGTGCTCCTTGAACGTGCTTAGGGGGTAGAGGTCAAACAAAGGTCTGGAGCAACAAATGCTCGATTATTTTCCTAGGTGTTATAATTTTAAACTGCAAAAATATCACATCAACTCAAAAGAGCTGCAGAGGAAATATTAACCCTAGTAGACCTCATTTCAAGGACTTGGGGTGCCAGGCAAACACCCAGCTTTGTGCAGGTCTTGGGGTACAGTCTCTCCTGTCATCTCCAGTGAAATGTATTCTGAGAATGCAAGGTGCTCACAAAATGCCACCAATTCAAATATGATATGCAAATTGTCACAATACAGAATATTTTCACAACCACAACAAAAGTCCATTGATACTCAGCCTGCCACGGCTGTTAAGACTACAGCTATCATCCGAACCTTTTCATTCCCAAAGTTAAAGTCATCAAAGCAACCTCACTGTTCTCACTGACTGACCTTATAACTAGTAAATGTTATAAGTTTAAGGTCATAAAATAAATGAGATAGTAAACCATCACTTCCCTGTTTTGTATATTGGAGCAGGTGGTTTAGCTATTTATTTAAAATATTTGTTTTTGAGAACACTTCATTTTGCAGACGGGGAAACAGAACCTCATCTGAGAGAGAGATGGGGCATCAGAGAGAGATGAGGTATCACGTTGTCCTGTGACTATCATCCCTGCTCAATGGGCAGAAACCAGGTGCCTGGCACTCCACAAATGCCCCTGGGAAGGAAGGGCCACTTCAAGGCACTATAGCCAGGAGGTGGACAGGACTTAAACCCTTCCCAGCTCCCTATTCCTGTACCACTGCTGGTTTTCACCCTCTGTGGCCTTCATTCCTTTCCTAGAAATGACAATACAGTCCACTCCTACCATCACAAGGAGGGAGAGAATGCAGGGAGGGTTCAGTATAAGCCAGGGTATCTTCCTTCCACAAGAAAACACCAGAAATCAAGCATGCTCTCCCACTGAGCACCAATTTGGAGCATGTGCTTACATGCATGGGGAAGAACTACCATCTGTACTCCACAAAACAAGGGTCCCCATGCTCACCTGTAAATTCAGCAAGAGGATAGCGGTGATTCCTGCCCATTAGAGGGAACCAACCAGTTAACTATTTTAGAAACAACCAAACAGACAGACTGCATAACCATAGGATGAGTGGGGACCAGCCCTGTCTGCCCTGGTTCTCAAACTGGAAAGGGTATTGGAATTACTCCCAGGGATTGTGAAAAGCCAGACTGCTGGAACCCACCTGCAGAGTCCCTGATCCAGTAAATCAGGGTGGGGTCAGAGGACATGTGGTTCCAGGATGCTCCCAGGTGCTGCTGCTGTGGGCTCAGGACCCCACTTTGAGGACCCCTTCTCTGACTTGCTCAGTACAGACTCTCTTACTGAGGCTCATTAAGGTAGGTGGTCTAGGCAGTACCTTTAATAGCCTACAGCCAATTTTTCTATCTAAACTGATAAACTATATTGAAAAAATATTTACAGACTACAATTAAGTATTATACTAGTTCAGACTGAACAACTTAAAATTTACCTCAGTGCAAGAGGTCATTACCCAATTGTGCTAGACACTAAGAGAGACAAGAAGAGGGATCAGACATGGGCCCGCCCTTAGAGCAGCCCCCAGTGAAGGAGACGAAACTGGATACAGGCAGCCACCCTGTAGGGAGGGTGAACCCTGGCCAGGGCCACGGGAAGGAGATGGAATGAGGTGTGGGGAGAACTACACAAGGCCCAAGGTGGGACAGCTCCTAGCTGAGGTGAGGGGTGGAGCGACAGCAGACAAGGCCTCCCTGTAGCCAGCCAGGGCCAGGACAGCACATGGGCAGGACAGACTCAGGAGCCACGGCAAGGGTGGGGAAGGCAGAGCAACAGGCATTCCAGGAAGTGGGACAGCATGAGCAAAAACATGGGTGTGGGAAGAGAGGGTGAGGAAGGTCAGTAGTCAGACTGGCCAGGAAGTAAAGGGGCAAGTTGGGATATGTAGGATGAGAGGGGAAGGAGACAGTGGATCAGAACTGAGCATCAGCTACAGGGCAGGCGCTGTTTGACGCCATCAATTTCTAATTTCACCGCACTGTTCAGAGAACATACTTTGTATTTTTTTCTCTCCCTTCAATTTCATCGAGTTGTATTAATGGACTAGCACATGGTCTATCCTGGAGAATGACTCATGGGCACTTGAGAAGAATATACACTCTGGTGTCGTTGGTTGAGTGTTCTATAGATGTGTTCGGTCTAGTTGGTTTACAGTGGTGTTCAAGTTTCATGCTTCCTTGTTGATCTTTTGTCTAAGCTGTTTTATCCATCATTAAAAGTGGGATGTTGAAATACCCAACTGTTATTGTTGAATTGTCTAATTCTCACTTCATTCCAGTCAGTTTTTGCTTTGTGTATTCTGGTGCTCTGTTGTTAGGTACAAATATGATCACAATTGTTATATATTCCTGATGGATTGACCCTTTTACTACTTGAAAAACTGCTCTTTATGTCCAGCAATTTTTTTGGTTTAATGTTAATTTTGTCTAATATCAGTATAGCTATTCTAGCTTTCTTATTGTTGCTGTTTGTATAACATATCTTTTTCCATTCTTTTATTTTTAATCTATTTGCATCTTTGACTTTAAAATGTATCTCCTATAGACAGTGCTGTGCTCTGAATGTTTGTCTCCCAAAAATTCATGTGTTGAAACCTAATCACCAATGTGATAGCATTAAGAGGTGAAGCTTTGGCAGGTGATTAGGTCACGAGGACAGAGCTGCCATGGATGGAATTGGTGCCCTTATTAAAAAAACCCTAAAGAGCTAGCTCATTCCCTTCTGCCACATGAGAACACAGCAAAAAGACTGCCAGTATGAGGAAGCAGGCCCTCACCAGACAATGAATCTGCTGGTGCCTTGATCAGACTTCACAGCCTCCAGAACTATGAGAAATAAATTTCTATTATTTATAAGCTGGCCAGTCTAAGGCATTTTGTTATAGCAGCCTGAAAGAACTAAGACAACATATACTGGGATCATGTATTTTATCCAGTCTGACAATATCTACCTTTAGATTGAATTATTTAATCCATTCTTCTTTAATATTATTGATATAATTGGATATGCTTTACGGAGTCTCACTGTGTCGCCCCAGCTAGAGTGCCATGGTGTCATCATAGCTAACTGCAACCTCAAACTCCTGGGCTTAAGCGATCCTCCTGCCTCAGCCTCCCAAGTAGTTGGGACTACCAGTGTACACCACCATACTCAGCTAATTTTTTCTATTTTTTGTAGAAACAGGGTCTCACTCTTGCTCAGGGTGGTCTCAAACTCCTGACCTCAAGTGATCCTCCTGCCTTGGCCTCCCAAAGTGCTAGGATTACAGGCATGAGCTGCCGCACCAGGTCTAAGTCTGCCATTTTACTTTTTGGTTTTGATATGTCTCGTCTTTTTTCTTCCTCTATTCTTCCTTTATTGCTTTCTTTTGCATTAAATGAACCAGGCACTATGTTTGGCACTTAAGTCAGAGGCAAGGACTTCAAAGATGTATTTCTTTTTAATTTAGACAGCAAAATTACCTCTCTGACAATTTTAATCTCCTTAAATGGCTCATATTCTAATCAATCACGATTTCTTCTTCTTGGTTCCAGTGAATGACAGCAAATCAATTATTCATCCAATCATCACTGGAAACCATCTACAAAAATGTCCATTACCAGCTTCCTGGATTGGAGGATTTAAGGTGTACAACTTGACCTACCCACCAGGAGGAGGAATGAGGCCATTATGTTTTGGAGATCCCCTTCAGGACACATGGTGACTCAAAGTGTGGTGACAACTGAGTGCTTCAGACCAAGGTGGCAAGAGACGGTTGGGATTCACAACAGAGTCCAGGTTGAGGTTATTTTCAAATGCTGTGGCATTGTTCTCACAGACACCTGGCACGGGTGCCAAGGAAGCTCTGATAAGCAGAGGTCCTTTCTGCACCTGCTACAGTGAACACGTAAGACATCATCCCAAACCATTTAGCCCACATCCCTGCCTGAGAACAACTTAACACACCCTAGACCTCCTTGCCACCTGACCTCTCAGAATACCTATGAAGCCTCCTGTTCATTAACAAATGTGAAGGGAAGCTAAAAACCCATCCAGGAGCAAATTAATTGTGAAGTTCCAAAACTTAACAACTTATGCTGTGAGTTTGGTGCCCCTGAGATTTAGGGCACCCAGCACTCCTCTCCCCCATCTTCTAACTGGGAGACCTCCAAATTCTGACATCCTATCCAGCAATAGGACTTGTTTGTGTTTTCAGTCTGAATGTCTTGCATTAGTTTTTAGCCATGCCTATAGAAAAATGAGAGGTACCATATGCACAGGCCCTCACAGACTGACTCATCCTGGTGGCTAGGATGTTTCCTGGGAGAGAGAGATCACGTCATCAAAGTGCACACAGAGCTAACAGTTTAAATAGATTAGGCACAATGTAGAGGCATCCAGGCCCTTTTTCAAAATAAGATATCTGGTTGGCAAAAAGGACCTCATCAAGCCCCGAGCCTGCATGGCTCCAAGACTTGCTGCTGAAATCCAATTACCAACAGGCTTAATGAGCTCACTCGCCCAGCTGCCCTGGCCCAAGAAAGCAGCCCTGCCAACCTCCAGAAAGAAGGTTTCTCTTCCAAAGTGCATTCTGAGGGTGCAGCTTAGGAGAAAGAGAAACACCAGGGCAATGTAATAAGAAATATGACCTTCCGTGAACACAAGAACACAGTGTAAGTTCTGAAGAAAAGCTTTCTAGCATTCTTTTGCTGCTCTGAACTGCAAGCAAGCTGCTCTGTGAGGTGCCATAACCCAACCTGAAGATGGGAAGGGAAACAGAGTTTTTAAAAAGCTTCACAAATGGCCGGGCGCTGTGGCTCACGCCTGTAATCCTAGCTCTTGGGAGGCCGAGGCGGGCGGATTGCTCAAGGTCAGGAGTTCAAAACCAGCCTGAGCAAGAGCGAGACCCCATCTCTACTATAAATAGAAAGAAATTAATTGGCCAACTGATATATATATAAAAAAAATTAGCCGGGCATGGTGGCGCATGCCTGTAGTCCCAGCTACTCAGGAGGCTGAGGCAGGAGGATCGCTTGAGCCCAGGAGTTTGAGGTTGCTGTGAGCTAGGCTGACGCCACGGCACTCACTCTAGCCTGGAAAACAAAGCGAGACTCTGTCTGAAAAAAAAAAATAAAAAAAAATAAAAAAAAAAAAGCTTCACAAATGTTAGCTCTAGGTTGATACAACAATCTGGGGTATTTCAACCCTGAGTATTATGATATTTAAAGCTCAGACAGTTGACTGTCATTAGAGGAGGCTGCTGCAGAGAACAGAGTGATGTTTTCTTAAGTGCAGAATGCATTCTTCTATGCAAGCAAGAGAGACACACACACTGTGTTCCTGTTAAGGTCCCTCCCAACACTAACCTTATGGAAATCAGAGACTAAAAGCCAAAATCCATTAACCATCTCCTGTGCAGCTTGCTGTGCCCAGGCTCTGGGAAGCCACTGTGAATGAGATGTATTCCTACCCTCATAGAAACGCCCTGTCTAGCAGGGGAGTCAGACAAGTCTCTAGCAGCTGCAATACACAGTGCCCCGGGTAATGACAGAGGGATGTGGGGTGGGGGAGACCTGGCGCCATGCCTGGCCCAGCCTAGGGATCAGGAAGGGGTGCAGCAGGGAAGGTTTTCTGAAGGAAGGCTCAAGATGGATCTTGGCACAAGTGGAGGATGTTCACCAGGGGGATGGGGGCAGGGAAGGCTAATGGGCAGATCTGTCAGAGGGAAGAGCATATGCAAAGGCCTGGCTCCAGGAGGAGCTGACAAAATCAGAGCAGAGGTGGCAGTCTCTTCAGTCCATTCCCCTGCGCCCCACACACCAGGTGCTTCCTGTCTTAATCCAGCCATACTGACTCTAATCACTTAATTCCCATTTTCAGGGTAAGCAGGTGGGTCTCTCTTGGGACCCAGGAAGGATGGAGCGAGTAGCTTCCAAGGAGCAGGAGAGGAGCATGGCTCACTGGGGGAATAGTGAGCTGAGTTGGGAGCAGGCTGTGGGGGCTGGAACGCCAGGCTGAGGCAGCTGCACTGTTCCTCTTTACAGCATGATGTTATGGGCTACATATAGAGAGTAAAATGGTTACTATAGTGAAGCAGACTAAGATAGCTCTGTCTAACACAGTTACATATTTTTTTGTGGCAACAACACCTAAAATCCACTTATTTTACAAAAACCCCTAATATAATGCAATTTTATTAACAATAGTCCCCATATTTTACCTTAGATCTCTAGAGTTGTTCATCCTATACTCTTTCTTTAGGAGGAGCCTGAGCTGGTTTGAACCCCACCACCGCCATTTCTACCCGTGCAACCTGAGAGAAGCCACTCAGTCCCCAGCAAGGAGGCAGCACAGGTCCAATGAGGGCTGGGAAGGAGAATATGCTGCTGCCCTCAACGATGCACACATATTTGTGAGCACACCCCACTCCCATGCCCAACCCCGTTAGGCGGCACGAGGCCAGGAACGTGCAGGCAGGAGACAGAGAATGACAGTGTTAGCTGAGCCCTAAGAGACTCAGGCCAGAGTCCCCCCAAGCACCTCTCCACATGGAGCAGGCACACCCCGTGACGACGATGGGGTGATACCCTAGGACACCAGAGCTCCCGGGACGAAAGGATGTGTCTCGCTCACAGCTCCTAGCTGAGTCGAGGACTCAGCTCACATTCCCCCCTGAGCCTGAACAGGGGAGACGAGGCGGGGTCCACAAAACAAGAGGGCAGCCTGTGCCCTGTGCCACGCCATGAAAATCAGCTGCCCTCATCCAGTTGGAGCTGGCTGGGGCCGTCCCAGGCTGGGGACAAACAGCAGCCTTGCCCACATCCGAAGATGCAGGCGCTGAGGAAAAGGAATGAGAGGTTGCAAACTCGTAAATCCTGGTGTGGCTGACATTGCAAAAGTGTTGAAAAGGCTAAAGCCACTGAGTGGAAGGGACTGTAAGTGCAGTGGCCAAACACTGTGGGCCACACCCAAGTCATCTCCTTGCTGCCAGGTGGTGAGACCTACGATGCACCAGGCTGGGTACAGCTCCTTTCTGCACTCCCACCAGCCCTCCCATGGCCACAGCCAGAGACCCCACTCCTGCCACCAGTGTCACCCTACTCAGTCCCTTCAGAGAACTAATCACTGGCTTCAGTGACACAGTGTTTCATTTCGTTTGTGGGGCCACATGTGGCCCTCTGGATTCTTGAGAGTAGCCTTCTGACTGCATCCAAATTTTACACAATAGTCCCCATGGTGTACCTTAATAAAAGGATTTGTTCTGTGAAGTTTGGATTTGGTACTTGGGTCTGGAGGGCTATGTGTGGCCTTGAGGCCGAAGGTTCCCCACTCCTGGTGTAGACTGTGGGTCTCCCCTTGGGCAGGCATCGTGCCACGTCTTGTCCTCATGGGGCCCCAGTTTCTAGCAGGGCACAAAGTGGCCCTCAAATGTGCATTGTCATCGCCTGTCATCACACTGAGCCTCTTGTTTGCACAGGAGGAACCTGAAGCACAAAAAACATTTAACTATCTTGTCTAGGGCCACACACCTCACAGAGGGCAGAGCGGGGCTGCATCCCACAGGCAACCACACCCTGAGCCCGGCCCTGCCCTCTGGAGCTGACAGTCTGCAGCTGTGGCCCCAAGGGATACAATGTGACCCCTCTGTCATTTTAAGTTTCTAGTTGCCACATTAAAAAAAAGGTAAAAAGAAACAGGTGAAATTAATAATACATTTCATTTAGTCCAATAGATCTGAAAGAGTATCATTTCCAAGTATCATCAGTGTTAAAATTATCACTGAGATATTTTACAGTCTCTTTTTCTCAAAGTCTTCAAAACCCGGGGTGTATTTATTACCCGCACACCATCTCCATCGCGACAGCACATTTCGGTATCAACAGCATCCTGGTATTGGCTGCTGTACTGAGACAGCTCAGCTCCAGGAGGTCACCTGGCTACTTGGGGCAGGTGTATGAGTCAGCTGGCATTAGGAAACTCACTCACAATCACAATGACCATGACATCTACTACTAACACCAGCAGCAGCGCCTACTGGTGCATACCTATGGCATCCTGACACTGTGCTGGCCGTCTGTATCTGATACCAACCCCAAGAGATAGGGCATTTCACAGAAGAAGGAAGTGAAGCTCAGAAAGATTAACCAACCTGCCTTCTATCACAGAGCTAGCAAGGTGGACTTGGGAAATTAAGTAAGCTCAAAGCAATAGCAAGGAGTGCTTCTTGAGAACCTGCTCTGTGCCCATGGACCTGGTGCCCAAGCCCAGCCCCTGCCCTCACAGTGCTTTATTCTAGCTTCTTGGGAGGGGTGAGAACAAAGGAGGAAACAATCGGTTCAGATCATGATGATTCACAGAAGCAAACAGGGCACCAATAGGGATGGGACGGGGAGGCAAAGCAGCCCTGGGGGTGGGCAGGAGACCTCCCCAAGGAGAAGCGCAAGCTTAGATGAGAAGGCTGAAAGAAGCCAGCTGGAGCCAGGGAAGGGGGAGCATTCCTGACAGCAAACAGCAAACACAAATGCTCAGGGCAGCCAAGTCCAGCATGTTCCAGGAACCAATGGAAAGGCGGCCAGGGCTCCCTGCACGCCACTGTCTGTCTCACCGGGCCATTCTACGGGCCCAGTTCACCCGCCTGCCTCGCGTACTCCCGTGCTCTTGCTTGGAAAGTGAGGAGCCCACAAATCATTCTCCAGATTTCAAGAACAGTCCAGGCTGGAAGTTCCAGCAGAACGCCTGGCACAGAGAGGACACTCACAACCATCTGACGAGAGGCTGGACTGGTGAGTTAATGAGTGGGGAGGAGAGAGTGGAAAAGCCAGCAGAACAGGACCTGGACACCCTAGGCTCTGGGAAGTAAATCTGAACACTATGAGCATTGCTTCAAACGCTTGTCACAACAGGTAAAAGGCGAAAACAACCCAAATGTCCATCAACAAATAAACAAACTGTGTTATATACATGCAATGGAATATTAGTCAGCCATGAAAAGGAATGAAGTACTGACACAACTACAACATGGGTGAACATTGAAAACATGCTCAGTGAAAGAAGCCAGTCACAAAAAGCCACAAACTATCGGGTTCCATTTACGTGAAATATCCAGAACAAGCAAGACCACAGACACAGAAAACAGACCAGTGGCTGCCAGGGCCTAGGAGAGTAGACATGGAAAGTGACTGCCAATGGGTACAGTGACTGCGCTGGGAGTGATGAAAATGTTTTGGAACTAGATGGAGTTGATGGCTGCGCAAATTGTGAAGGTACTAAATGCCACTGAATTGTACACTTTAAAGTGGCTAAGTTTATATGAATTTCACCTCAATTTTTTTAAAAAGGGAAAGAAGGGGAGAACATGAATTTCTTCAATGTTTGAAACAGGTTGCAATGTCAATAAATAAAATCCCACATTGGAACAAGCAGCTACAAGTGACCAGCTTCCAGAAGCAACAAGACGGGGTGAGGGAGGGAAGAGAGAAAAACAGAGGGCCTGCAGCTAAGTGAAGCAGAAAGTCCTCACCAGATCATTCCTTGCCTCCACTCTCAACCCCTCACAATGCCCTCAGGAAGCAGGACTCCCCTGAGTAGTCATCCGCCCCTTCCAGCCCCGAGGTGGGAACCAGTGGCCAGTCCCGGGCTCCTGACTCAAAATGCAGCCAGGAGAGCAGCTCAGAGGCCAGCACACTGACCCAGCGCATCCCTCTGACCTGGCAGGCACAAGGGTGTTTCTGCCACGACGAGCCCCCACTGGCAGTCCCTGGCTGGTGCACACAGAACCCCTCAAAGGGGCCCTTTGGCCAGTCCAGGCCCCGGGAGGGAAGACAGCAGGCAGCTGCACCCGCACAGTACCGGTCGTCCATAGCCACGTGGGAGCTTTAGACACATGGCAGGTCCTGAGGGTGCTTGTGGGCCTGGAGAAGATGAAAGGACCATCTCAGGCCACCTGAGAGGAAAGACTGACCTGACACAGTGGGCCGTAGTGCCCGATGGAGGCACAGGCATCGCAGCTCCCGTCCACCCCACAATGCTAGATGAGGCCCTTCCCCCATTCTATCGCATCCTTCCACCGTGTGACGCGCAGGGATGAGGACTGGGGTGATCCCCGTTTCCCAAAGGAGGAGACTGAGTTGCAGGGGGTGCAGACGCTTGTACAGATGCGCTGGTAAATGGCAGAGCTGGCGTCCACACCCAAGGCTGACATCAAGTCTCCTCTGCTAAAGGATGATGCCATCAATGTTTGCTTTTCTCTACAAAACACCCACAAGGCAGCATGGGGTAGTGGTTAAGAATGTGGGCTGCCAGTCTGGGACGATGGAAAGTTCTGGAGATGAATGGTGGTGATGGTTGCACAATAATGTGAATGTGCTTAATACTGCTGAACTGTGCACTTAGAAATGGTTAATATATTAATCAATATTAAACATTAAATATATGTTTAACATAAAAATATTTTAAGAATTGATCTGGTGCCAGGCCATTAAGAAATTGTCAACAAACGTTAAAAACTAGGTACTATACGTGCTACATTCTCTAAACAGGTCAAATTCAATTAGAAGCTAATAAAAAATATAAATTCCCCTTCCCCCAGAAAAAGAATGTGAGCTTCTTAGCTTCAAATCACTGAAATCTACTAGCTTTTGTGACCCTGGGCAGGCTTCAGCACTCTCTGTCTCCATCTATTAAACAGAAATGCAAGCGCACCTCCCTCTGGGCTGCGTGAGCCCAGTCAGATCAGTGGCAGCATACTCCTGCCAAAGGCCAGGTAGCAAGTGATTTTGGCTTTACAGGTATCCACTGCAGCTGCTCAGTTCTGCCAGTCTAGAGCAAAGGCAGCCACAGATCCTAGGTACACAGTGGGCATGGCTGTGTTCCAATAAAACTTTATTTACAAAAACTCTTGGCATAGATCCCGGCCCTTGGTAAGTGTCTCACAAATGTTAACTGTTATAATAGAGAAAAATGGCATTCATTTCAATTCACTTCTGTAGCCTTATGAAAGGTACAATATTGTTGTTGCTGTTCTGAAAAAAAAAAAAAAACATTAATACCAAAGGCAAGAGCAGAGCCCCTGTCCCCACTGGAGGGGCCCCCTCCCTCACTGAGCTGCCCCTGGGGGACACCCACCCTCCCTCTTCTACTTTCCGGTGCTGACCTCTATGGCCACTCCCACAGCACTCTTCTGCTTCCCGCCTCCTAAAGGAGGGGCTCTTAACCCAGCCCCTTCACAGCATGAGGTCCCCAGAGCCCCTGCCCTGTCCTTGCCCCCCCTCCAACGTATGGTCCCTACACTGTCCACCTGGCCTTGGAAAAGCATAAGCAAAGAGAACATTTTCTGAAGGCACCCAGGGCTGGAGTAGGATGCCAAGGTCCCCCGCCTGCCAGCCCTGGGGTCATTTCCTGAGCCTCCAATCACAGCAAACCACTGGCCACTACCAACATCACAGTGGCATGCTTCCATGCAAAGTTGCCCACGCTGTCGGAAGGTCCTTTGTCCATTACAGGGGTCAGTGTGCTACGCGGGGTGACACCTGAGTTCTGGAGTGAGGGAGCCCCACTGCTGACACTCCCACAGCCCTGAGACTCTGCTCCTCCTTGTCAGGTGCTCACATAAAGCTTATCCTGAGTGCTGCTGTACAGCTAAAATGACATAACCCATGTCAGGAGTGGGAGGTGAAGCAACAATAGCAATTTTCCTTATGTGACCCTCATTCCATTCTCCAGAAAAAGGAGCTGGGCACTCCCTAGGAAGACTGAGCCCCAACCAAAGTGGGGCCACCTCATTGTGTCCCCAGGCTCTCGTGGGCAAGATCTGCTTAAGGAAAAACTACACAAACACATATTATACTATATATGTATAAAAAGTTCTGAGAGAGCACAGATTCGAGAACCACACAATCTGCTTGGCAGAGCCAGGAAAAACCACAATGAAAGTAACATGAGAGTTGGGCTTTGTCGTATGACTAGGAGTACTCCAGATAGATAAGGGAAGGGAACATTTTTTGGGGGGAAACAACAGCACATGGGGAAAAACCTTTGTGAAGAAGACATGTCTACAGAACACAGAGGTGGCAAGTGTGGCTGACACAGTGGCAAGGAGAGGGGAGAGATGACCCGAGGAACCTGTGAGGTCATGGGGGCGGTGGAAACATAGATAGCTGTGAAGGAGGAAATGACAGTCATCTCACTTGCTGGGTCTACACTGTGATCTTCGGAGGCTTCTTGCTGTAAAAGACTCCAGGTAAGAGTTACCCCAGACTCTGGAGCGGAG